GGGCAAACGGGTGGGCGGGCCTCTTGCAGCGGCTGCTAGGAGTCAGATCCTCTCCAGTGGCGACTCCGGGGGCGTTGTCTCCCCGGTGGTTGTCTCCCCGGTAGGTCGTGGCCTCTTCTCGCTGCCCTCAGGTGACGGCCAAACAAGTGTATTTTAAAGAGACTATGTAACATAGTGACATCTGATGTAAGCATAAACCTGTAGTTTAATGTGGTAAATTAAACATTGATCTTAACAAAATTAGTGTTCCAAATTTTTTGAGGATTTGTTTTTAGCATGAAGTAAAAGATCTGAGAGGAGCTGACTTTCAGCAGGAAAGGCTTACTTTGGCTCACTGTTTAAGAGGCTGCAGTCTGTAGTCACTTGGGCCACCACTTTGGGCCGTGGCAAGTCAGTATCTCTTGGGGGACCTTGTGGCAGAGATAACTGTTCCCCTCATGGCTGTATTCTGATTCATGATTAGCAAGGGGACCCTTAAATACGAGCTGGATTACAGACAGCTAGGCCCAGCCAGAGACTGGCTTTCTCCTGTTCTGAAGCTCAGCGACTAGTTCCCACTTTCTCACTTTGGCATTTATTTTCTACAGCAAATGTGTATGTGTAAACAGGACCATCACCTACATGTTCCCTTTGCCTCTTTCCTGCTGCTTTTTGATTCGGGTGGATAGTGATTAATAGCATAGATCTTGCTCCTCAGTGCCTGGGTTTGTGCCTTGGTTTACACTCTTGTGAGTGTTGTACTCTCAGGCAGGTTATCTACCAGTCTGAAGGTAAAGATAATTCAGCTACTTCATGGCCATGTTCTGAGGTTTGGGTAGCTATATACATTAAAGAACTTAGAGCAGCATTAGATGTGCAGTAAGTGCTATAGAAGTGGTTTTGTAGAAAATAAATAAAGCAGCTTTCCCTCTCATTACTGTCCTCCCTGCCTTTCATTGTCTCTGGATCATGATAACAGCCTTGTGGCTGATATTCTTGCCTCTAATCTTGCTTCCCTCCAGATCAGCCTTCTTGCTTTTGTTAAAGTGAATGGACTTTCAGAGATACAAATTGGAAACCAGTTGTTGTGCCCCATAATCCCAGCAGAGGCACAGGCAGGAGGATCATCAGAAGGTCAAGGACTACATAAAGGAATCCTGTGCCACTCCCCAACCCCCGCAAAAAAAAAAAAAGGAAAGAAAAACAAATTGGTCATTTCTGTACCTGCTTAAAAATATTTTGCTGGGGCCGGGGGGATGGCTCAGTGGAATAAGCGCTTCCCTGGCAAGTGTGAGGGCCTGAGTTCAATACCCGGTTCCACAAAAAAAAAAAAAAAAAAAAATTCCTGCCTCCCAAGCAGATGCCTTGGATGAATCTTGTCATATAAATACTTTGCCTACTCCTTAGCCTCAGCCTTTTTCTGTTCCCTAGCTGATACCCATGGTGATAGATCCCACACAGATGTTAAGTTTCGTTCTTTCTTTTTTTAAAAAATTATTTAGTACGGTCTACGGTGTCTCATTATATTGATCGGACTCTTAATAATTCTCCTGTTTTTATCCTCCCAAGAGGTGGGATTACAGGCCCGCACTACCACAATCCAGTCTTGATTGCTGTCTCAGCATGCCCCGGAGGCAGGCTAGCACGACACCTGGGGATCGAACCCTGACCTGTGCACTCTGCCTAAGCAGGCGCTGTAGTCTGCTGAGCTATCTGGCTGGTCTGATGTTCAGTTTGTTGAACACAGTATTTCATTGCATTGCTTTCCTTCTTAGGTTACTCCTCTGTCTGGCATATTAAAAACAGATGCTGGTTATTCTTTGATTTCTGTTTACTGTCCTCATCAAGCTGCCCCCCTTGTTACAGGTTATTCATTTATATGTCCAGTTCTACTGCTAGATTTAGCTCTTGCAGGGGAGGAACTGTGGGTTAGGTATGGCAATCGGCTTACTGTATAAAGAAATTTGGTGACTCGTGTCCAAGTTAAAATGTTTTTTGGGTTTTATCCACAGTGATGATTATAGACTTTCTTTTGGAAAATAATTGCTTTTTTTTTTTTTTTTTTTTTTTTTTTTTTTTTGGTACTGGGAATTGAACTCAGGCCCTTGCGCTTGCCAGGTGGGCCCTGTGCCACCTAGCTATCTCACCAATCCTGTAGACTTTCTTTTGTTTTGTTTTGGTGGAACCAGGGATTGAACTCAGGCCCTTGCACTTGCCAGGGAAGTGCTTATTCCACTGAGCCATCTCCCTGGCCCCTGTAGACTTTCTTTTGGATTTAGTATTAGAAGTTCAAAATTTTTATCTTTGTCTAAGAGACCATTAGAAAATTTTAAAAATTGAAGATGGAGGTTGATGTGGTAGAGATTAGAAAAGAGAAAGATTTATTAGTATTCTTGGGGAAAGGATGTGGGTAGAGAAAGTATATTCTGAAATTAATATGCAGTTTATAGAATCACGTAATTTGATTCAGAACATAAAATTAAAGGACAGAGTGTGAGGATTTATTCTGTTTTTTTATGCAATAGGCAGGAAGACTTAAAAGACTACTTAGATACCAGCTGAAATGACACCATGTAATGTATTCTCTCTGGAAACACAGGATGAGCTGTTAAATGCAGTTGTTATCATGTCTTTTCACTACCTGTAATTTATAAAAAGAGCTCTTTTTTTTTTTCTTTTTTCCACAACCACTCTTTACATTCTGTTTAACGTTTTTTTTTTGGATAGCATGTTAGTAAAAGCTATCTGTACCTTGACTTTTCTTTCTTTTTTTCTCTCTCTTTTTTTTTTTTTTTTGGCGGAACCAGGGATTGAACTCAGGCCCTTGTGCTTGCCAGGGAAGCACTTATTCCACTGAGCCATCTCCCCGGCCCCCCTGTACCTTGACTTTTCATTACAGAAGTACAGTGTTCTTTAAATAAAGTAGGCTGTGGTCCTGGTTCATAATAGTACTAAATACATTGAGTATTTCTAATGAAAAGAGATCTTTTGGGATGAAACATGCTGATTTTATGTAAATTTATATATACTCTGTATGAAGAACAATATATTTTATAATTTTGTCTCAGGCTTAAGACAGAGCCATGGGGCTGGTGAGATGGCTCAGTGGTCTAAAGCACCTACTTAGAACAAGCTTAGCAAAGCACAGGGACCACGGTTCAATCCCCCAGCACCACATGCCAGCCAGTCCCGACCCCTGGTCGGCTGAGCTGGCCACACACACACACACACACACACACACACACACACACAAATAAATAAATAAAATTAAAAAAAAAAAAGACAGAGCCATGACTTTTGTTCTAAATCAGTAACGATACTATATTTCCGTTCACAGGTGGAAGAGGGACAGCAGTGGCAATAAGATCACCCACCCTGTTTCTGGGAAATGCATCTTACAGTTTGTTGCAATAAAAAGGAAGGACTGTGGAGAGTGGGCAATCCCAGGGGTGAGCATTACAGTGTTTAAGATTGTTTTAGTGGGTTTACTTAGTACAAGTTACTGTGTGTGGATCTTTACTAGTCCGTTTCTCCTCCGTTTCTTCCCACCAGTAGTTTTCATCATTGCAGTCAAGTGTCATTCTTGGTCACAAGTTTAACATAGTAGAAAGGTATTACAGTCTGAGTGTAATTCTGGCTCTTAGGGCGAGAACGTGGGCTTTGGAGTTAGACCTGTTTTGTGTTTGAAGTCTTTTTAGTTGCAGCTGGGTGATGGGGAGTTCAGGCCACTAGAGATAGCATAGAAACATCTGATGAGGAGCAGGCACTCACTGATGCAGGGTCCTTTGTCACTCCCCTCTCCTGCCAAGCTCAAAGTATTAATTTTAGTGTTATGCTGTTTTTTTTTTTTTTTTTTTTCTTGTGTTTAGGACAGGGTCTACAGGGCCTCACTATGTAGATTGAACTCATGGTGATTTTCCTGTTTTCACCTCCCAAGTGCTGGGATTACAGGCGTGTGCCACCATGCCCAGTCTCCATTGCTGTTTCAGCGTGCCCCTTTGGTGGGGCTGGCTCAACATGTGGGGATTGAACCCTGGCCTCTGCACTCTGCCTAAGCAGGCACTTTAGTCCGCTGAGCTATCAGGCTGGCCCTTTAGTATTGTTTTAATGTGGACAACTTTAGATATGAAAAAATGCTTTTATCACGCATTTGTTATTGTAGTTTAAAAAATTTCCCAGGCATCGTTGGAAGAGCTTACTTTTGTATGCTTATTATAGTTTGAGTTTATCCCACTGAGATAGTGACCTTTTAAAATATGTGTTTGTGTGGTAAAAGGTTTCATATTTTATGCCTTATTGTGAAATGGGAATAGTTTATGTGGGGATCATTCTATGAATATGCTACTATCTGCAAGAATAATCTTTTCTTGTATGATACAAATGGAATGGAGTTAAAGATCCCAATAAAAGCGTAAGGCTAACTAGTGTGCCAAATCATCAGATTTCACTCTGGCTGAATACAATAACATAATGATCGCATCATAGGATTTTTTTTTTTTTTTTAAAATATTTATTTATTTTTATTACATTTATTTATTGTGTGTGTGTGTGGCCAGCTCAGCCCACCAGGGGGCGGGTCTGGCTGGCATGTGGTGCTGGGGATCAAACCGCGGTCCCTGTGCTTTGCCAAGCTTGTTTCAAATAGGTGCTTTAGACCACTGAGCCATCTCTCCAGCCCGCATCATAGGATTTTATCTCTTCATTGTCATTTGAAATTCTAATCACTGAGGCAACTCTTGTCATTGACATAGTTTTGAGAGTTATTTACTCAAAATGACTTGAATATCTTCCTTTTTTTCCCCTAAGAGTTACGGATGTAGCTTAAACATTCTCATCTGTCCAGTGGGACAGATAATAAATGTTAGAAGGAGAGAAGTACTAAAAAGAAATTTCCTAGGAAAGTTTTGAGAATTTGTAGTTTTAGGCAATCACTGCCTATTTAGAAATAGTCTGTCAAAGTGACATTGGGGTAAAAGTCTGAAGCAAGGGTGTGGACAGAGTTACTACCAAATGTGAAGGCCTCAGGTAGTGTTGTAGTTTGGGGTTTTGCCAGGGGAAGCAATACAATACAGAACACTTAATTATAATATTTTATAATAGTCACCTAAAGAATCATATACAAAGAGTTCAGGAAATCTGTCCACATACTAAAGACCGAAGAATCCAGCTGAGTGCCTGGATCCTGCAGTAATGACCTGTGTGAGTGCAGCTGAAGACCTAGAGCCCATGATGGTGTCTCATGCAGGGCCCTTTTCTTGGGTCTGTGCTGGGAAGGCCCAAAGGTCAGTGGTGGAAGCTAGGAAGTTTGTGCTAGCAGGCTGAGGGATCAAAGTAAGAACCAGAGCTCCCCCAGAAATGCCATAGGCATCCTCAGCAACAGTGAGGTCCAAGCTTCTCCAGTGAAGAGGAAAGCCAAGTTCCCATTAGGAAACCTGATATGACCAGCTTCTTTAGGCAGTGCTCCAGGTGAGGACCAGAGCTACTCTGAAGTGTGAACTGTAGCCATTCTCAGTGACAATAAGGTCCTGAGCTCCTCCAAGAGAACCAACAGCTCCCTACAGCCTCTTGTAGCCTCCAACAGCTTTCCAACAGCTTCTGCCAGCTCCCAACAGCCTTTTTCCTCCTTCTCCAGTTCTGCCTGTTATGATATCAGCAGCAGTCATCAGGTGGGCCTCCCATGCCCCACACCTAGCACCACACTGGTACAGCTTACCTGGGTGTTACTAGTTGACCACAAGCTGTCAGTTCGCCACTGATAGGGTATGAGTGATGTGTCCTGGAAATGCTGGAGTGGACCAGGCCGTGGAGAAGAATCGACTTGCTGTGTTCTTCTTTGCTTCCAAGCCTTCTCTCTTTGGAAAGTATTGGAAAAAGAATTGGGTTAATGCAGTGTGTCAAAGGCTAACTTTGGACCAATCACTGCTGTTTTAGAGAAGAGCATTCAGTGGAGAATGAGAGTCATTGTAGTTGGGAGAATGAGAGTCACTATTGTTGGTGTACTGAAGGATGATGGCTTAGTTATTTCCTTGTTGCTGGGACAAAATACCCAATACACAAACTTAAAGGGTAAGGTTTAACTTTGCTCACAGTTTTTAGAGGTTTCCATCCGTAGTCAGCTGGCTCCAAAGCCAGGTAGCATGACAGAGGGGCATTGCAGAGGAGAAAGTCTGGAGCAGGCAGCAGGCAGTGAAGCAGCAGGGAGAGCCTTTTTTATCTTACCCAGAACACAGGCATTTTAGGTGATGTCATCCATGCCCAGTGTGGGGCTTTCCTTTACCCTCACCCACACTACCAATCCAGTCAGTGGAGTAATCCAGTACCACACAGGCTTAATCCCAGCATCACTCACCCCTGATCCAGTCACCTCCAATGAGACTGTGGGAGGACAACTGGATACAAGGCATAAAGCGCAAATACCTGCTAGACTGCCCAGTAGTCATTCAACGAATCGAGGCTCTCATTGCTCTTTTTTTTTTACTTTAAATTTTATTTATTTATTTATTTATGTGTGTGTGT